CTTATTCCTGAGCCCTGGGACTTGTTGCCTCCTTTGTCTCTTCTAGTAGGCGCCACCGTGGGTCCCCACCAAGCCATCAATCAAGGGCAGCCACTAACGAAGGACTCAGAGAAATGGGCTGCGTTCCCCACACTCTGCAACTGTGCTGTCCAAATACAGTAGCTGATAGTAGATGTGGCTACTTAAATTACAATTTTAACTAGTTAAACTTTCATTTTTATTTCATTTGCATTTCCTCGGTTTTACTAGCCACAGCTGAGCTACTCAATAGTCATATGTACTTAGTGGCTACTATACTGGACAGCATGGATTACAAAGTGTTTCTACCATCTCAGAAAGTTCTATTAGACAGCACTGCTCTGGAGTAAAGAAGCTCTTTTAGCATGTTCTTTTATTACCCCAAGAAGATTATGAACACTTGCTGAGAGTCCCTAGAGTGCAACTTATCGCATACAGACCTGGCTCCATCCAATCAGGTTGAAGCCAGTGAGAGATGGAAGCTATCCAACCAACCAGAAGCCAAAGGGTGATGGAAGCTATCCATCCAATCGGGTTGAAGCCAAAGGGAGATGCAAGCTACATGATGTCCATCCAGCCTGCAGGATTGATAGTGAAGTCTCAGGCTACATATTGTGCAAGAAAACCTTCCAGAACTTGGGGGCCTATGAAAGGGTGACTCATCTCCTAAGATTCATTTTAAGGATGAAGATAAAGTTCAAAATAACAGATTTGAGAATGAAAGAGAAAAAGTGGAAGTCCACTTATTTTTTAAATGGTGCTTGGAACACTGGAACATAGAACTTATCCGAACAGGTGACACTTATGTCCTTGCAAGTTGCTCAGCCCTGTACTTCTACCTGATAAGAGTCCCAGTAAGCAACCAAGTATTTAATTCTTAAATTTGCATATGAGTCAAAAGAAGGATCTTGTTATAATCTAATACCTAAGTTTTGATTCCACAAGAGAGAGAACATTCTGATGTAAAAACAGAAACCAGAAACACTGATGTAGTGGACTTTCACTATGTATTAGGGACAGTACAAGAAGGATGCAAAGGGAAAGGCCAAGATTGCTTTGGAGTTTGGTGCCAAGGGTCACATCCACTGCCTTTCATAAAATGGCAACAGAGGCATTCCAGAGAATCAGGAAAGAGATATAATGAATGTTACCACCCATAGAATTTTCATGGTGCTCATATAGCAAGATCTGAAGTCTGCACACTGTATCATTTCAACTGTGAGAAAACAGGTGTTGGGACCTACTTGGCAGATTGAAAACCAGACCTTGGTTGGCTGCTCGTGTCCTAGAGACATTACCCTACGGGTCCCTATTGGGGGCCTGTGTTGCTCATAAGCTACTGCAGAAATTTTAGTAACTCAGAAGGCAAATTCTGCCCATGGAACACAAGGAGAAGGGCACAAGAATTTGAAAATTCACTTCCCAAGGCATTCAGCTATTCAAAGCACAGGGTTACTGAGAGAGGGGAAATGAATGAAGGAACAATTGGACTAGCTTTTGTTTTCTTAAATAACAAAAACCAGTTACACTGTGTAAAAAAAAAAAAAAGGACATAGGGCTGCATTTTTTTTTTAACACGGAACAATGAGAAATTAAAATCCTTAAGTCATGAGGAAAGTTGGCATTTTCTTCTGGAATACCAGACTTTTAGGTTCAGAAACTATATTACAATTGAAAGATCATGCTTTCAGAAATCAGGAAATTCCAAGGCAAGTCTACAGCAGCGCTCACTTGGACAGGTTACACATGGTACATATTTTACGGTCCGTGTTTAACAAATAGCTGGAAGATGAAAAAAAAGGTCCACATATTCAACATGGCAGCGTAAATGCTACGGCAGACAGTAAGAGGTTTGAGATGCTCTGAACCCTACTCAGAGAATTAATATTCCATTACCCTAATTTTAGCAATTTGGTCTCCTGTTTCAAAAATTTTAGAACAAAAAGTCATTGCAGTTGAAAAAAATACATGTGTATATATCACCATCCTATAAATCTAAGAGGTGGTCTCCCCTCTTTCGACAATTCTCTAAAAATCTCATGAAACAAATGCATATTTTCCTCAACTTGAGACCTTAATTTTCTATCTTTGGAACCTAAAAATACTTACATAATTGTCTTCAAATATGGCTTGATTTTTTCTTCCTTGATGGAAACAGCATTCCTGCCAACTTTAAAATTTACAGCTACAACCATATTTTTTTAATTTTCTGAAGCACAAAAAAATACTACCACCCCTCAAAGTGATTTTGAAATGAACATTTCTTCATCTTCACAATTATCCCATGTCGCACTGAAACGTAATCTAACTCAGTGTGCAAATGGAAACACCTACCTCTGAGTCTCAGTGCAAAATATTACTTTTGGAGGTAATATCGACAACTAAAAAATATTCCAGTGGCAATCATATCCCAGTGGTTATAAATTTCATTCATAACAAAGTAAAATGGTGCATCTAGAAAGCAAATTCCTGTGTGTGTGTCTGTGTCTGTGTGTGAGTGTGTCTGTGTGTATCTGTGAGTTTGTGAGTGTGTGTGCATCTGTGTGTGTGTGAGTGTGTGTATGTATGGCACTTTCTCACTTTTACAGACTACACCAGTTTTCAAAAGCACTTTCACAAAACTTCGTTAATTTGATCTCCCGATAATCCTGAAAGGTATACAAGACAGGGATTATTTATTATTCCACTTAGTAAGAGCAGTGAACTGAGCTACAGACAGGTTAGGGACTTGCCAAAACCCAAAGCTCATCAGAGCAAGCCCTGGAAAGGAAACTGTAGACTGCTGGCCTCCAGATCCGCCCTTGAAAAGCAAGTCTAGGTGTACAGCTTGAGTAGATGCGAAACGTGCAAAACTGCCGGGTTTCTCAAGCAGTGTGAACAATGCTCCTTTTTTCTCCCCACCGTCACAAAGGTTCATAGTCTGTCTCACTGCTGGAAAAATGGGGGCAGTCACCTGGATTACAGAGGCCATGCCAAAAGGCTGGGTTTCTGAATATTTACATCTGCAAAATTGTATGCCTTTGAAAACCAGTTAAGATAATCTTGTAGAAAATATGGGAATTTACTGGGGAAAGTAAACTCTGGGTTATTTATCTTTAAAAGTAAATAAAAGGGTAACCAAGGGGGGGAAATGCTTCCAGAAGAGTCTGGGGGTGAAATTTAAGTGGAAGCACTGGTTACAAAACGTGTTCAAAACCTGAATCGCTCCAAACTGATGATGACGTTCTCCACGGTTCCTCCTTGACCCAGGACCCCACAACAGGGCAGCGCGGTAAAATCCTCCTCACTTGTACGTTATGGTGTCAAATTTACATCTACATCTGCTACACTTTTATAAGAACCTAACTGGCATTTGTAATCGATAAAAAAATCACCATTCAAGGCAGCGTTCCTGCTCTTTCAAATGACTCAAGGATTTGTTTTCCTTTGAAATACTGCAAGGAAGCAAGTGAAGTAAATGGAGAGTGTGTCGATTTAAATGTCTACATGTGTTTCTTGATATATTTCAATTATTGGGCAAGCTCCTAAAAGGCAACAATAACTTCCTTTTCTTTTTCTTTAGCGACTAGACTAGAGCTTGGCGCAGACCATGTGGGCTGTGCCGAAACGCAGATGGGAATTCTCAGGTCGTTCCTTCCGGGGCTAAGCCCAAGGAGGCACATCAGAGTCGGGGTGTCTTCCCACTGGCGATTTTGCAGGAGAAAGTGAGCAGGGCAGACACTGAGAGCCATGGGGCCGGAAGAGAGGGTGCCTGTGGAGCAAAAACCTCTCTAGAAGTTGGAGCAGGCCATGTGGCTAAAACACAATGACCATAGGAACGCATTCATCGCTGTGTGCTAACGTCGTCACACACAGGCCACTCACAGGAAACAGCTGAGGAAGGACTAGTGTATGGCCCAGGAGTAGCAGCCACTGAATGTAAAACGCTTGTGCACCGGGGGTTAGGCCATCGCAACTACAGCCACCTTTAGAGCGAGACGATTTTCTGTGGGACAACTGGGCCTTTCCTCCTGAAAATATGCCTACACATTCCTCCGGCCACTGTGTAGTTTGGGTCACATGATCTGCATTCCTGTTTCTTCTAAACCAGATATAATTCGTTTTAAATTTTGTTGTTTTATTTTTTATTTGCCCCTGTTCCTGAATACGTGGTTCAAGTAACAGCACATGGGTCCCCTGACTTTGTATAAAAAGAAACTATATTTTATATACCTGAAGATGGAACCATCAACATGCCACTAATCTATTTTAGAGTCAGAATCCAAATTCCTTAAAAGCAAACAAAAACTGGTTCCACGATAGGGCAGGAAAAATATGGTGAATTCAGGCTCTTGAAAATGGCTAGACGATGAATAACCAGCCCTGAATAATTAAGCATAATGTCTACATGACAATATCTGTGAATATAGCAATAAAATATTAGAATATAACAAAATACATACATGATGAAACAGCAATATAGAGACAAGCTTATATAAAATAACACACTTCATAGAAAAGAGAACATTCATCCAAAAAGATTACATCTAAATTCACAAAAGATAGTTTTTGTGTTTTTTTTTGTTTTTTCAAAGACCTCTACAGTCTGATTTAGGGATGTTGAAATAGCTTGTGTCCTATGAATTGCACTCGATGCTTAAAGTGTATGTAAGAAATTGTTTCCAAACATATTTTAAGTGTGCATCTGTTACTGCTTATCTATGGGAGTTCAAGTACAAACTGCAGATTGTCATCCAAAAACGATAAGGATCTAAGACAATGCAACTTCACATCCCACACAACGAAAGAGCCAACGACGTTATGGAGAGGATGTGGCCCCAGAGCCACGAGGCTCACAGCTCCCACGTAGGTCGACTCAGAATTAACACTGACAGAGAATGCACTCTCTCAAGGCGGTGGGGTTGTAGCGAAAACGCACAACATGTATTCTAGACACGCCAGCAGGAGGAATGCATGAGGAGGCAATCAAGTGTTTTACGTACTTTGCGAAGCCAATGAAATCTTCGTGGTTGGTGTTGATGTAGGAGACTTGAATGTCGATCAAGAGCAGTACCTGTAAGTCAAAGAGAAACCCTTCGATGAAAACCATCTTGAATGGGATGCAAACACTAAGCCCATGAATAGCCCACCAATTATTTATCTCCTGAGATCAATAAGCTTCAGCATGAAAGCAAAACTCCAGTCGGTTCTCTGCTCACAGATCACCTCCTCCGAGGCGCCCGCCCTGCCCGTTCTGTCTAAAGTAGTGCTCTTCTTACTCTCGCTCTCGTTACTCTGCCTTACTTTCCTCTGTAGCATTACCACTAGCTGACACAGGCTGGAAGGACCCCACCTGCTGGAGCCCCAGAGCCTAGCACAGAGCCTGGAACACCACAGGAACTCACTGAAGATGTGTCAAGAAATGAACGGAATCCATGTTCACGTGAACATGAGAATGTTCTAAGCACGAGGTCCTAAATAAACTCCGAGTCTGAGATTTGAAAGGTGTGCAGAAAATGTCCTTCAATGGGAGGCAAGGAGCCTGAGCGAGAGGAAGAAGAGAGGGAGGAAAAGAAGCTACAAGAAAGGGAGCTTTATTCCAGAGATATTCAAACCGAGCTCCCTGTCCTGAGGTTCCTTTTTGTTCTCCCAACTGTGGCCCTTGTCGCTCTGGAATGCTGAGACGTGTTGCCGGGGGAAATGCTTAGGAGTTGCTGCCTGTGCATCTCCAGAGCTCTGCACCTTGACTTTGTTGAATGAACCTTGGGGACCACAGCGAGCATTTTCCCCGCTGCAGCCCTTCCTTGGAGGTGACATCTGAGTGCACTGGAGCATCATGGTCCTTCCTCAGGAAAGCCTTCCCTGAGCCTCACCCCACACCCTCACCCTATGCCAGGCTGGATCACTGTTACCTTCACACAGCCTAGGTGTCCTAGTTCACATTTATTACACCCTGTATTTTGTATTTGTGGTGTTTACTACCAATATAATTATTTTTATATTATTTATTTGATGTTTTGCTTCCCTGCAAGATGGTAAGCTCCGTGGAGGCAGGGGTTACAGTTTCCTCGTTCACCACTTTGTCCCCAGACCCTAGCACAATACACATAGTAGGTCAGTGTCCAATAAATGTTTGTGGCTGTAGATTTTATAACTATCTCCCAACCTTGAAGAACAATTTGCTTTATAGGAAGTGATTTATTCCCAAACGATTAGCACATGGCCTATTGTTTCTCCCTCACTACCCAATGCCATGGGCTCTGAGGCTTCAGTCTAGTGGCTCATCGCAATGGCTCATCTGACCAATTCTTGCTGTGAGCCTCAAGGGGACCTGCCAAGAAGAGTAAGTGGGTCACCTCCAACCCATCCCCACTGCCAAACACAGGGACTGCTGTGTCAACAGCATCACAACACTCATATGAAAAAGTTTCATATCATCAGACAGTTTTGTTTCTACTCTTCCTGAAGAAAGCAGAAGAGTTGGGAGGAGCCATCTTTATTGGAACCTGCGGTGCTGCCTCTGTTCTCCCTGCAATAGAGTCTGATGCTGTTATTCTCCCAAATCCATTTGGCAGGGAGTTTGTATCAATAAACCATAATGCTTAAGCACAAATAAACGGTTACCATCATAAAGAGCAAAATATCTACATAATTCTCCACATTGCCAAGGGTTGTCATGAGTGTCTTGGACGTTCACGCACATTAACTTGGACCGCGATATAGGAAAAAAGTGGAAAAAAATAAAACACTGTGGCTGTTCTCATTCATATTCCTGGAAACTGGGAGGCTGTGTTCATCCTAGGACAAGAGCCAGGTCACATGTGGGGGATGGAAAGGAAAAGGGTACATTTTTTTCCTCATTTTTTTTTCCCCCTTCTCAGTTTCTCACTGACTTTTTAGCCCACAGTTATTGAAGATTTGGGTGAAGAAAAGTCAAGCTGCCCCTGGTAAGCGGTCTTTCCCCCACAAAATCAACCACTTCGACATACAACTTCATGGGTGGGGCACCTGGCACGCACGGGTGTTCAAAAGACCTTTGTTTTAGGAAAAAACTCACACACAGATGGATGGTTTTCCATATTTTTAATTTGGAGGAATGTTCCCCCTACAAAAGTTCCAGTGCAGAAGTTGGTACTAATTCCATTAAAAAACAAACCAACTGCAGAACACCTCACACAGTTCCAGGACAGAGGTCTAAGGAGATGGGTCACTGGGCAGCTACTTCAGAGGCACAGAGGCCAGAACTCAAATGCGAGAGCTACGCACACTGACGTGTTCACGTGACCCAAATCACACGTGTTTTCACTATGCCACACAGGTCCATGCCAGAGGTGGCAGGGACCAGCTTCCTCGGGCGCCTGACTGTCACACCAGGCCACCTGAGATGGTCACCTAGGAGGGAGGCTCCCGCCCCATTCCTTCCTTCCCACTTGGGGAATTAATGGATCACTGCATCAAAGTTGCAGATGAAAGATAATGTCCCTTAAACTCAGACAGAGCCATTCTTTTCTCATATCTACGGTGTGTCATAGCTCTTTGGGAATAGCAACGAAAACAACTAAAATGAATGGAGAACTAAGAGCGGTCTTTGGATTACTTCAGCTCGTCCTCACAAAATGCCTATGAGTTAACTACCATCATTGTCCCACTTTCAGATGAGGAAACTGAAGTGTGAAGATGCCAACTAACTTATTCATTTACACAGAAAGTAAATGGTAGAGCTGGATCTGAACCCGGAGCCCACAATCAGAACAGTGATGCTAAGACTGAGTATGTCGCTTTCATGAAACAAAAACTCCGAAACATGAAACATGAAGAAGCTAACAACTCACTTAGATATGAACACAGAGATGACAAAGATAATAATTGTGCTACTTTGCCCTCAATAGCATAGGATCCCTAAGAGTTAAGTAGGATATACTGTCATTTAAATTTTCAAGAATAAAGACACTAAATTAAAATGGTTATCTTATTTACTTAAGGTCAGGAGCACAGCTGACACTAGAACTTAAGTTTCCTTGGTCCAGCAGCATCCGTGACATTAGACTTGGGACCAGGGTGGGGTGGGGGAATCTTTTGGCCTCAGAGTTTTATATATCTGACCCCGGGCTTGATTTCACTGGCTCATGAATGAACATTGATTTGTGTATCCCCACTAAGTCACAAAGCCTATACTCTCCACGTTGGGCTATGGCGGCTATCCAATGGTGTGAAAGTTGGAAAACAAGTGAAAACTATGAATGATGGCTAATTAGCTTTCGAAGCACAGTGATAAAAAGCAGTAGCAATGACCCCCAGAGCTCGAGCAGAGAGCAGGTTGCTGCCCGAGTCACTCGCCAGCATCCCAGCCTGCTGGGCCTCCAGCCCTCGGTGCCTCCCCTCTCCTTCCATCCCCACTGCACCCACTCACCTCCCACCCCCCGCACACACCCTCAGTGGCGCGTGTCTCTCCCGCTGTGGTTCGCCTCTATCTCTCGCTTCTATTTTGCCTTCCTCCTTTTCCCCAGTTCTCTCTCTCCTCCTTTCCAACTCACCGAAGAACCACAAAATCTTGGAATTCTAACGTGAAGAGGACTTCAGAGATCAGATAGACCACATCCCAGTGTTGTACATAACAAAACAATGGTCCCAAAAAGTGGTGTGCACAAGAAGACACTGGTATTTTATGAAGAGTACGCGGCCCGAGTCCAGGGTCCTCTCCACGCTGTCACACTCGCAATTGTAGCCTGGATTTATGCAGCATCTGAAAACTTTGGTTTCCCATTATAATGTCTTATAAATAACTAAGGAAAAAAAACCTACCTAAATTTAAGAAGCTTTTAATTTCATGTAGTCCTTAACTTTTTAATGAATTATCTTTGCTTGAAAATCACCTTTTGAACTCACCGTTAGCTAGGATTTGAAGACAATTTCAAGGTCACTCCTTACAAACCATACACATTTACAAAATAGAACGAAATGCTTAAAAAAGCTGTTCTTGAAAGTTTTTATTTTTCAGTGAAAGGTTCCATGGATAAGCTGATGAATAGCTTTGTTCATTATCCTCAGGAAAAAAAATCAAATCACTGAATATTTTGCATAACATTTTAGGAAATTAGTACCATCCTGGTGGCTATCCATGGGCCCATTAAAAGCTAAGAACCCCTGTCTTCAAGAAAAAATGTGGTATATTTCTGGATTAGCAGTTTTCACAATGGGCTGTGTACGTGCTAGGGGTACACACAGTGATCCATGGGGTGTCGAGGAAAAATAATGGAACCCTATAACTGAGTTTTAAATTTCATCCTTCTGAAGTCTTTATATGTGTTTATATTTTTAACATACATAAGATATTAGTATAGTAACACATGTACGGAATTGATAAATAAGTACAAATAAACATATGTGATTGTGTTCTCAGCTATTTTTTTTCCATTCGGGGATGGATGGCCGACTGCTGGAGAACCAGACAGCCTTGGGGAGACCTCCCACGTCCCACAGAGACCCTGCCCACCAGGGAAGGGCTCTCCTCACCTGGTCCTTCGTCTTCCCTTCTCGCTCGCGAATGTGGTTAGCAACAATCCTCTCCGTTTCCTCGCAGAGTCTGGGGAAGTTGGCCAGCTGTCAAGACAAATCAGATCTGAGTGTTAATATTCAAAAAGTGATACCCCAAGAAAAGAGAAGCAGAGATAAATTGTGCTATTTTGCAGAAGATATGCATTACAGTTCCGGAAGCAAAGGTGAAACATCGTAAAGAATGGCAGGGTGACGGGGGAGGCTCCGTGAACTACGATCAGAAGTAACTATGTTATCTGAGAGGAGACACTTCAGAACCAGCAGAGAAAACAGAAACCCAGATACCCATCTAGCACTGTGATCTACAGAGTTGGCACTTAATAAAGTTCAAAGATGAAGAAGGTGAATGCGGGGATGAAAAGACGATAATGACTAACTCATGAAATATCTCATTCAAAATTCACAACAATCGTGAAAGATAGATTCTAGCATTAACCCCATTCTGTAGAGGAGGAAAGCAAAGCACAGAGAGGTTAAGTAACTTGCCCAAGACTAAACAGTTCACAAGTGGTGGGTCCAGGATTCCAAACCAAGCCCTCAGACTCCAGAGCCCATGGTCTTGCCCATTAGTCTTTGTGATGATTCATTCCAGGAACCACAGAGATCATTTATTTTCAATTCTCCCCTAACCGATGTGTTTACGTGTACGTATTTTTTTTTGGCAAAACTGTAGAAATGATGCATGTCAATCACTTATCCCACCTGAACTACGCAGGTAATTGTCCAAAATCTAGTTTGCAAAAGTGAATGAATGACGTATAGTTGTTTTCAAGGTAAGGGAGAAAAAGAATGGGGTGCCACGAGCCTGTTTAAGGAGCCCTAATGTAGAAGAAGGACTGAGTCAGGTAACGCTGTGCGGGAACGGCTGAGGGGGAAAGGAGCTTGCCAGGCGCGGGGACATGTGACGTGGACAATGAGTGGTGGGGGAAGCTAAGGAACGTCAGTTCAGAGGGTTAGGAGCACAGTCTTGAGGCAAAGCCAGAAAGGTAAGCCCAGGGGCCAGCTCAGGCAGAACGTCAAATCCAAATGCTGTTTCGTAACTGCTGCCTCTCTCATGTAATGCTGCAGTCCCACCGCTTCCTAATATGCATAAGAACGTCCTACTGACAGTCAAAATGATTTCGATGAGGCTTCCTGCCATTCGTTTTCATTAGCTCATTCCACAGGACTCCCTGCTCAATCTGTACGTCGCTTTACTTAGTTCTTAGAGGTGCTCGACTCTGATTGCACGGCTCAACCCCTCGCCTCTCTTCTGTCTCTTACTTAAGGTGCAATCAGATTCCTCAATTTAAATAACATTTTTAAGCTCTCTTGCTCTGGATGTGGAATTAAAAGCCAACAGTTGTAAAAATGTGCTTACTTTGTCAAAGTCATCAAAATTCTAATCATGTGTGCCAAAATATTGGTCTAGAAGACTTCGTCTTAAGACCTTTACTCCCCTATTAATTATTTAAAGGTTCTGTGAGTTGATTTATATAGGGTCAAGGAATTAAGGTTTCACTATTGCTTATAATCATTTTAGATTCCTAAATTTATTTCCTATCAGTCATTCATTCAACATCCATTGGGCACGTGCTATGGTCAGCGGTAAGCTCAGTTTATGTCAAAGCACCTGGTATTAAAAACCTTACAGTCTTGAGTGGCAGGATGACTACATAGATAAACTGAAATGCAAAAATGAATATTTTACACAAAGCAAGAAAAAACACAAAAGAAATAAATGGCTATGCCTGCTCTGAAACGGCCTCAGAGGATCTGATGCCTAAATAATAACAGTGAAACTTCCAAAGCTAGATAGCTACCAAATAGTAAATTACTCTAAATAGTTTATTATTCAGATTACATTAAATATTCTTAAATAATAAAGAAGGCATGTGGAAAAACAATACAATATGTATGACTTTAGGAATCAAACCTTTAAATATATAATTCTAAGAAAACATTTTAACTGTACATGTTCTGAGAGAAAGAAGTACCATAATTTCTAAAAAATACAAAGACATGTTTTAATAAAATCAAATATTTTAAGTGTTATGTAGGACAATGTTTAATTATTTTGGTGAGACCGCAATATAAAAAATTAATTTTAAGCATGAACCACTGTTTCCCTAGAGGGGAAAAAAATCACTTGAAAGGCATTTCTATCCAATAAAACAAAAATTACACACTTATAAAATGTATTAATCATCGATTAGTCAGATCATAAGAGCACTGCTGTTAGGTTTCTCTTGGAACAGACATGAGGCCAGACCAGATTTCTGTACCTTCAAGAGTAACTAGTTCGATGCTTTCAGCAAAGACTCAGATTATTAGGTAACCATGTGTTCATAGTTCTATACCAAACATCACTGAGAAAATAAACTACAACCAGAATAAAAATTTTTTTATGCACATAACTCGAGTTGATTGGTTTGGCTGCTACAGGCATGGGCTCTGTTTTGATCAAAAAACTATAAACCTTCCAGTGTTAGCCACTCACCCAAACTGAGGAGCAATAATGATTATACTGCTCCTAAAAGCATACAATAACTTTATTCCATTTCTGTGAATTAAAACCTGCCCCCAAATCCCAAATAATCTTTTATTCGTATATAACATAATGTGAGGTTTATTCAGGAGATGAAAAAAAATAGTTATCTGGGGACAACACATTTGTTATTTTAAAAAAAGAGAGCAAGAAAGCAAGCATTCACATTTACAAAGGTGCTCAAAGGTGAGAAACAAGTCTCGTATAAAGAAGTCAAGAAATTGCACGAGGGTAAATGGAAAAACATTTTATCAAGCGCTCTGTATGTTAGGAGTGGCACATGGGAAGGCTCAGACAGCCTGAGTGAAGTTGACAGAAAGGAAGGGAGCCAGGTCCCATCCAGGTGGCCTGGGGGAAAGTAGTGAGAGAAAAAGAAATATTGTTAGCCTTCGCTCTCCAAGTGAACAAATCCCCAATCTGCAAACCTCAAATATTTTCTGCAGGTGGTGGGAGAAACGGTGAAGTACATAATGGAAGGACAGATACAGTATGTTGGTATGTTCATGCATCATGTATCTATCATACCGTTTCTTCTAAGCAGAGAAATGGCAACTCGAGTGTCATTTAGCAAATGCTACGGAATAAAAACAAAAAGGTCAATCTTGGGTGGAACAAACTGAAAAGTAGTCAGAAGAAGCATGGCCTCACTCAGTAACTCAGAAAACACCTAAATAGGAGGTCAGGGTGGGGTTGCCACCACATCAAAACAATATCTACAGATAACAATCAGGTTTTCATCTCTTCTCTTTCCAAGTTCACCTCTAGCAGACATATTAATGAGTGGTTAAGAAGAAAAATCAAAACAGAAGGTAAGAGGAAAAGCAGAGGTCAAGGTAAATTAGAAATTAAGAATTAATGACAAAGGGCATAAATCCTTTAATGATTTATAAGATTAAAAGATGAGGTTCTTGGGATAGCACTCAGCCATAAAAAAGAAGGACATCTTGCCATTTTTAATACGATGGATGGAACTAGAGGACGTTATGTTAAGTGAAATAAGTCAGACAGAGAAAGACAAATACCGTATGATATCACTTATATGTGGGATCTTTAAAACAAGAACAAACCAAAACCCCTGAGCTCTCAGATACAGAGAAAAGACTGATGGTTGGCAGGGGCGGGGC